CTTGCCCCGAGCTCTCATACTCTGATGGTGCATTGTCTTTGAGTTGTGCGCCTTTTGGCGTCATCTGGTCCAACCCATATGAGACTAGGCTCGAAGGAAAGCTGTCTCGGGTGTGGACCAATCAACTTCAAGGACAGTGCACATTATCAGAGTTATGTTCTTTTGTTTGTATTATGACTGCAGGTATTGCGGTCTATGCAAACATGACTCCTTGCAAAAAGGTGTCAGTTTTGTTGCCAGATAGAAGGGTAAAGAACCAATTATCATGTGTACATTAATAGAGCTTCCACTCTATTAACGGCTGTATAATTGTATTAAAAAAAACTTGGAGGTGGGGCTTTAATACCTTTCCTGAATGTATTTTGTTGCCTATTTTTTACCAAAATCTTTGAATCCGGCAAAGTTGGTAAAAGGTACGTTCACGTTTTGTAGGGAATGCTTCAGGGTTTTGGCATTTTGTGAAAACAAATCTCGTCTCTTTGGACAGAGAGACATCCCCTTGTCTATTGCCATAAACATTGGGAAACCGTGATGTGTATTGCATCTGAGCTGCTCGCTATCCAATATAATTGACAAGAACCATGCCCATTCAACGACCAGTCACAGTCCTGCTTAAGCAAGCATTGGATGGTGCTCTACTCGGTTAATGGACCTGAGCTCGCAATGAAAATCTCACAAACCTATGACAGGGACCAGCCTATCCACTGGCCAACATGCTGCTTGGGTTATTGTGATATCAAATCCGAAGCGGAGGCGGTCTCAGCTTGACCCAAACTGTGCTCCCCTTAACAACGGCGCTCAACGAAAGTGAACAATCACCAACGCGAATCGCACTTCGTGATTTAACAGTTTGTATGGCGCAGGACGAGAAAATGTGAGGCGGCAATTTCCAACGATGTTGATAATCGGGAATAATTGTTTCTGCTCTTTACAAAATGTATATTATATATTCATTTAAGTATTCTAAAACTCGTGAAGTAGACATTTTTTCGTAAAAAATAGCTGTGTTGCTACAGTAAAACAGCCTGCATCACGACCTCTTTGTTTATTTGTTGCAATGCTCGCGGTTTGTGTTTGGGGCCACGCCAGGCTGGCGGTGATTGGCTGGAATCTAGACGAGGCCACGTGCCCGCATACAGAAACGCTGCCGGCTGTGCCCCAGGGTGCGGCGCACGGAGTTAAATCCGTGGTGCTCTCGCACAAGCGGACTCCGAGTTGCCCGGCCTCTCGCAGTGTCACTGCCCCCAGCAGGCACCCTGAAGCTGCGCAGTCTACCCGTGCCTCAGCTCTGTCCTTTCACACGAACCCTTCTCGAGCAGCTGCTGCGACTTCTGTGACCGGTGACACAACACTGAGTGACGTCATTCTTATTTATTTCACATTTGTTGTTGATCGTGACCGTGCCAAACACAGCCGTGTTGTTTGCTCGGAGGGGTGATCTAGAGACTGGTTGAACACGCGATGAGTTGAGATTTATTGCAACGATGAATGCGCTGCTGCGTGTTGGCTTCCCATAGCTGCTGCTGGTCCACGTGCTGAGAGCAGGGGCCATGACGCCTCCGCTTGGGGAGCCTCCGCGTTGTTGGCGATGGAGACAGCGGCTCGCGGTCTCACCAGAAAGCGGACGACTCGAATCCGCGAGGCGCGCCTCGCTTTGTGCTTCTCAGAAGCCGTGGGGCTCCCTCGAACCCTCGTTGAGAGACTCCCAAAAACTGTTGAGTCTCAATGTTCATCCGGGGCCCCTCGACTTCGTGGTCGATGTTGTGTCAGTGGGACACAAATTACTGTACTGCACGTACATTCCGCACCATGATAGGTGTTATAGGCAGCGATGCCACTTTGATTATAAGAGGGCAAAGTGTAGTGTATGTCGACTGAGGCGCACACACACTGCTGTAGGAGGCAACCCATTTATTAAACAATTCACTGTACACCAGATTCTGTTGCTAAGGGGCAGCCCATAAATTACGCCACGCACCTGGGGGGGGGGGGGGGTCGGACATTTGTGACAATGTGACGGGGGGGGGGAGAAATATGACGTCACGTAAAAATGCGCAACATTGAATACATAGACAACACGTTCTACTTCATTAAATATACTTTTTAATGTTTTCTCCTACAACATGAGAGTGCAGCGCCACATTAAATACGCACTACAATGACAATAGTTTAAAGCGATTTGAAGCATGGTTTTTTTTTGGGGGGGGGGCAGAGCTTTGTGACGTCATATTTGAGGGTGGTGTCTGACTTTTTGTGACACCGTGTGACGATGGGGGGGGGGGGTAAAAATCGTCCAAAATCGCGTGATATCATTTATGGACGGCCCTAAGTGGGGCTAACTTGTCCTAGGCTGCTCACTCTGCACGCGCCTATTAACTCGTGATCCCCGACACGAGCCCCGAGTTCCCCTGACGCCCCCCCCCCCCCCTTTGTCTCATGGCCCCCGCCCCTTGCTGTATCAAGCCGGCGCTCCCCGCTTCCGGCTACGTGCCCTTAACTCCTCCAATCGAGACACCGCTTCAGGTCACGTGCGCTTGACCCGCCCCCCCAATCGAGGCCCACTTTCGGTCGCGTGCCCTTAGCTCGTCGAATCGAAGCACCGCTTTTGGCCACGTGTCCTTAACTCGTCCAATCGGGCACCGCTTCCGGTCACGTGCCCTCATCTTGTCCAAACGAGGCCCGCTTCCGGTCATGTGCCCTTAGCGCGTCCAATCGGGGCACCCGGTTCCCCTCCAGCACTGCAGCTGGCGCGACCCACAGAGACATTTAACTGTCTACACTCACAGTAGTGGCTGTAGTCACGACACTACAAAAGTAACAATATCACCTGTTGTACAGTACTTCTATGGCCCCACGTCTACACCCACACCCCACCCACCCTCACTCACCAAAGTGAGGCGTGCTCTAGTACCCCCCACGTCTACACTCCCCACCCTCACCCCACCCACACTCACCCCACCCACACTCACCAAGGTGAGGCGTGCTCTAGTACCCCCCCCCCCCCCTCGAATAAACACAGAGCCGGAGGGTTCTGTGGAAGAGCCGCTGCCTCACAGTCTGCTCATTCCAAATACAGTCACGGGCAGGCTGAGCTCATCATCCCTCTGGGGCAGATAAAATTAGCACCACCTGGGCAGCTAGAAGTGGTTGTCTTTGATATTCTGGCCTCGTCAATAGAAAAGTGGAGTTTTCACCACTGGCTCAGGGCCCCCAGTGGGAGTGGGCACTGCCCCACGCCCGTCGTAGCTGGGAGACGCTGAGACTCGACTCAACCAACACGCACCCAGCGTCCCAGCCGTGTGGCGCGGCTGAGTGAAACAAGCCGCGTGTTCCTCCTGCTGTGTCAGCTGTGTCTGTGCAGAGTTCAAGAAACTCATCCATCAGAGTCAGTGTGTCTCAGTGCTTGCTTGAGTAATCTTCATGCAGAATCCAGTTGTCACCAATAGTTTTGATTAGCTATAGACGTACATACAGAATCAGAATATGTAATTATACTGGAGGAATCAGATGAGCTATAAATATATTTTGCAGACGTCCAGTAGAACATTTTACAAACTAAAAACGCAATGACGAAACATGTTTACATACAAATCTCATGCTCACAGAAGTATGGACACTCTCGTGCCATTACTCTGAGAGTTTGAGATGAGAGTTGGGAATCGGACGCGAACTTAAATGTCATGGTCATTGTTTGTGACGTGGATACAACTCATTCAGCATCAACTGGACACAACTGCGACCGCTCCCTGCCCGTTTCGTCTTGGCTGTCCAACCTTTGAATGAATATGAACGGCAAATTGAGCGCAGGTTCTAAATGTCGCACAGTGCAAGAGAACGTTGTTGTCACTCCACTGCTGGATGAGGGCCTCCCCACGGTTTGAACCGACTCAAACTGGTTTCAAATTGAGCAAACCAAACCAAACCAGCGACGACTGAACCAAACCAAACCAAAACCAAACCAAACTAAGCTAAACCAAACCTCTTGAGTTGGCTTGAACCGAAAAGATGCGCGGCAAACAATATTCGCATTCAATACAGATGTAGAGGTGATACGCGCTGGGATTAGAGATCGTATGCCAGCGCGTAATGATTGGCTGTGTAGGTGGTGACGTGCGCTGACGGTGGAGGATCAGGGGTCAGCGCGGGGTCGTGGGTTACGGGGTACTGATTGGCTGTGGACCGGTGACGTGCTGAGAGGGAGTGACCGGGTGGCAGCGCGGTGGGATTGGTGGAGGAGTGTTAACACGCGCTGGGGAAACCGGATCGTAGAGAGAGTGCGTCGTGATTGGTTCATTAAGGAGCGATGCTCATGCTGAAGTACGCATCAGCTCCGCCTCTCGTGAGCAGGGGCTATAAAAGGGGATGCACACAGGCGTGAGGGAGTGTGTAACCAGCGAAGAATGAAGACGGGGATGAAGACCTAGAGCCCTGCGGTACCTAGCCCCGCTGTCCTAAGGGGACCGGGACTCTGTGTAACCCAGAGGCGAGTGTAGTGTGTGTAGCCATAGGTCTACACGAGCCGAATGTATTGTGTGTAGCCAGGGCATAGGGTCTACACGAGTCGAGTGTATTGGGTAGCCAGAGGCATAGGGCTTACACGAGTCGAGTGTAGTGTGTGTAGCCAGAGGCATAGGGTCTACACGAGTCAAGTGTATCGGGTGTAGCCAGAGGCCTAGAGTTTACACGAGATTAGTGGAGTGTGTCGTCGGAAGAAGGAAGACCACACGTTGTATTGTGACACGTAAAGATTTAATAAAAAGTGTGTTACCCGTCAAGAAGTTCCTGCCGTCAATTCCCATACTTCACAAATATCAAGTGTATTAATCGCTAATTTCTACGCAGGCTTTCTTCATATTGAGATTCACTAGCAAGTACTGGACGACGATGTCGTCCACAGCCATCTCCTCAAGCTTGGCACGCCCAATGTCCTTGAACGCAGTGTGGTAGTTCAATGGCAGTGAAACCCCAACACTAGGCAACATCCGCGCCCACGAGCGCACACACATCTCGGCCTTGAACGTGCACTTGTGCAGGTTTGGTCGGTCGAGAAAGGAGCGCTTGGCAGCCGAGTTTGCTCTCTCGGAGGGCACGGACGACGCCGGGATAGGCAAATAGTCGAGGGCCACGCGTCGTAGGCGCGGGTACTTGCCGCCGTACAGCTTCCACCACTCGACGACGTCCATGCTCAGGTCCTGAGTCGGCTCAAGCAGGAAGCGGTCGACCTCGGAGGCGGCGCCGTCGTGAGCGTTGGGCGCGTAGACCATGTCAAAGAGGATGTTAATGCCGCCATGCGGCGCCGCCTTCGGCGCCGCGTCCGTCGTCAACGCTGGGTAGCGCTGGTTGAGAATGTCCGTCATCATGTCCTTGATATTGCTGTACTCGGTGCTCGAGGCCGCGGGCTTGGGGTGGCGCAGGTCGAGAAAGCGGGCGACGCGGCTTGGTTCGGACGAGAGAAGGTCGCTGTACTTGACCATGTAGTCGGAGATGGTCACGGCGGCCGAGCTCACGACCACATGAGGACTCGGGCGGTGGGTCATGCAGTGGCTCAAGAGAGCCTCCTGCGCCGTGATGGCGTTCGAGATGGTGCAGTACTCCTCGGCGCCCATGGCATCGGAGATGGCCGCCGGCTTCTCCAAGAACTGGCAGAGCAGCGCCGCCTGCTCCCACTGCTCGTCCGACAAGCCGGCCTGGCTCCGCGACCAGCCGGGCTCAAGGCAGATGGCGTCGATCACTTGGCGCTGCCTTAGCGACGCCGTGAGCATCACGTACGTGCTACCCCAACGTGTGACCACGTCGAGGCAAGGCGGCTGCAGCGGGCACTTGAGGTAGTGCCGCGCGAGCGACGTGTAGGCCGCCCTCTTCGTCTTGCTCTTGCGGATAGCGCCGAGCGTCGCGCGGAGGCTGCGCAGCAGTGTCTCGAACGCGCCGAATGAGGCCTTGACGCCGAGGTTGACGCAGTGCGCGATGCACCGCAAGCAGCACGTCGAGCGCAGGTTGCTCCCCTCGGGGAGCGTGAGGGATTTGGCGGATGCGACGGCGTCAGAACCGCTGTCGGTGACGACGGCGAGCAGGCGCGGCCACACGCCAAAGTCGTCGAGCAGCTCGTGCAGGCGCTGCGCCATGCGCTTGCCCACGCCTTCGCCCGGGGCCACCCAAAAGAAGTCAATGATGCAGTTGCACATGGAGAACGACGCCGGGTCCATCCAGTGGAGGGTGACCGAGAAGAAGCCGGTCATGGCGTCGTTTGTCCAACCGTCGTAGGTCAAGGAGACGCAAGAGCCAAAAGTAGTAAAGTACTGTAGAATGAGTAGCTTGAGGACGACATACATCTCGAGCATGCGGCGCTTGACCGTGCGCTCAGACTTGGGCTCGTAACCTGGGGCAGCTCGTTGAAGAAGAGTCGTAAAGGGATCCGATGTTACGTGTTTATGGCCTAGACCACTCGTCGCGATGTACTCGGCGACAAAGCTGTCCATGGCCTTGCTCGCGTGCGCTGACATGGGCGTGGCCATCTTGGACTGCACGAGCAAACCCTTCCCCGTCGGCGGCGACGTGACGACGGTGGGCGACTCGGGGTCGACGATCCCATGGGTCTTGAGATGCTTGATACGGGTGCCCGAGGAGGTGGAGCCCGCGTACTGGAGGGTGCAGATCTTGCAGGTCCGGCTCTGCACGTCGCCCGCGGCCTGGCTCGTCTCAAAGTACTCGTCGTGCCACAGCGCTCGGGACACACGGGCCTTCTTGGGCTTGGGCTGCGTCGCGGTCTGCAGCGCTGCGGCGCCGAGGGTGCGCATGAGGCTCTGCCGCGTGTCGCCGCGCATGGCGTCCGGGCTCTCACGTTCGCTCGCCATCGGCTCCTCATCGCTACCGGCGTGTTTGGTCTCTTCCACGTCGTGGATGAGATACCTTGTGATGCTGGAGCCGCCGGGGATGGCGCCGTCTTGAGCCGCTCGAGCCATGGAGATGCAATTGCAAAGTGAATTCGCAGGCAAAGGCAACTACAGCATGTCCTTTCGTGTCGCCTTTACAACCAACCAAACTAGTTTGAGCCGGTTCCACCCTGTCCGAGCCAAACCGAGTCGGTTTTCGTAGCCCCAAACCAAACCGAACCAGTTCAAACAGAGCCAAACCAAACCGATTTGGTTCGGTTCAAACCGCGGTTTGGTGGTTTGAGCCAAACCGTGCCGACCCCTATCTTGCACCACGCTGGTCAGTGCGGGGTGGTGACAGCAACGGACGTTGCCGCACTGCCCTTTGCTGCCCACACCGCACCCTGCACCTGCTCCATACGCGGGGTTCGCCCGACGTAGCGCGATCCGAGGTCAGAGTCCTGGCTCCTCCGTCGCTCGCACCTCGCCACAGCGGCTGGGCGCGCAGCTGCCTTGGCGACTCTCCCAGCAGTGCCGGCGATGGCGGCACGGGGCCCATCGCCACGCACAATGACGACGAAAAGGCACGTGCAGCTACCACGCGCATGGGCCCTGCCGCAAGGCGTCTCTCGCGGCTGCCAGGCAACACCAGCAGCAGCCCCCACGCTCTCGCTGCAGTCGGGAGCAGCAGCACATGGGGCAAGAAGCAGCATCGAGCGGCTCATCGTGCCGCGCTGCTGGGGGGAGGGGCCGAGTCTTGGGGGAGGATCCAGGGTGGGCGGTGCACTGGGGGCGGGGCTCCAGGATTGGGGGGGGCGTTCTCCGTGCTCCGGGTCACGGTGCCGTGCAGCAATGTGGCTGTCACGTGGCCTGGCGGCAGCCCTCTCCACTTGCTGCAGGGTTTCACGGTTGTCATCGAGCGGCCGTCCTCATGAACACCGCGGGTCTATTGACCATGGCACATGCGCGGTCTGCTTCACGGTGAGCGTTGAAAATCCCCTGACGTCAATCGCAAGAGTAGACCACTGCCTGCTGGCGTCATGGCAGAAAAGTTTTCCAAATGTGAAATATTACCCGCAAATTGTGCACTGGGAATCTACGTAGCAATGATAGCCACCTACTGTGAAAACTTGGCAGGACGCTTCTGACAAGAGGCACGTGACTGAGTTTTTTCTGGGTAACAATAATCCGCGCTCAGACTCGTTCGTGTTAACGCGTCACCATAATGAACCACGGTCAATCCACTGCTGGACAAAGCCCTCCAAAGTGTCACCGTCTCTCAGCCTGCGCAGCATCAACCCAACAACACCTGGCCATGAGCTTCTCTCGTGGCCCCATCCTCATGGTTGGTGTCCTCTTGGGCGCATGACCTCTTGGCTGCCACTCCGTCATTAGTCTCGACCACCAGTGACCCACTTACCATTCTTCACAGTCAATATGTCTATAACTTGTGTATATTCGTGAATGCATGCATTCCTCTTGCTGTGTATGTCAGTGTAATTCTTAGCATAAATATTCCCATGCTGTTTTGAGCACTTACATGTTTTCACTATTTTCTTATTTGATGTCCATGTCTCTGATTCATGTGGCATGCCAGGTGTTCGTGCACTGTGCTACAAACTCGGCCACCGAAGTTTGATTTCCGGTCACGGCGAACATCAATGGCGAGTGATGTGCTAGATTTATGTGTTATGCAGAAGGGCCATTTTTTGAAACGTCACCTATTTGAATGTTAAAGCTATGGAGGTTAAACGTAAGACGCGTCATGTTTCCTCCAGCAGTGTACAAAGTAGAATGCGCGAGGCGAACCTGGCAGGAGACAGGAGACTCTCACCAAGCGCCATCAGCCATGACTTATCCACTGCTACATGCACACCTCCCCAATCCGTCACCATATATCATGGTCTTGTGATGCCACAATCTATACAGGTCCCGCACATGAACCAATTAATTTCTCTGCCACGCCATCATTAGTATCGACCACCAGCCATTACCCCTTCGAGTGACGTGTCCTGCACAAGTCACTTCTCTTAAGTCAACGGCTTTCTCAATTTTCCCAATATGCTCTAATACAAAGTGTGCCTCTTCATAGCTTTGAGGTTTCACTTTTTTCTCCTCGTGGTGGTCGCGTGGAATGAACTCCTGGTCCTCCGGATTTACCCTCCGTATTTAGAAACACACGTGTTGATTGTTGAGAAACACACGTGTACATTACGTAGATACACGCATGTACATTTAGAAACACGTGTGCATTATGTAGAAACACACGTGTACATTATGTAAAAATACGTGTGCATTATGTAGAAACACGCGTGGAGATTATTTAGAAACACGTCTACACTATGTAGAAACACACGTGTACATTTAGAAACACGTGTGCATTATGTAGAAACACGCGTGTAGATTATTTAGAAACACGCGTGCATTATGTAGAAACACACGTGTACATTATGTAGAAACACGTGTGCACTATGTAGAAACACGCGTGTAGATTTAGAAACACGTGTGCATTATGTAGAAACACACGTGTACATGATGTAGAAACACGTGTGCACTATGTAGAAACACGCGTGTAGATTATTTAGAAACACGTGTGCATTATGTAGAAACACACGTGTACATTATGTAGAAACATACGTGTACACTATGTAGAAACACACCTGTACATTATTTAGAAACACGCATGTACATTATGTATAAACACGAGTGTAAATTATTTAGAAACACACGTGACATTATGTAGAAACACGTGTATATTACGTATAAACACGAGTGTAATTTATTTAGAAACACGCGTGTGCATTATGTAGAAACACACGTGTACACTATGTAGAAACACACGTGTACATTATGCAGAAACACGCGTGCCAATCCACAACTCGATGAGGGCCTCTCTATGCTGGTACGGGTCGTGAGGGTTAGTTGACCCTGCCTAGCAGCATTTTAACGTTAACAGGACCCTGCGGGGTGGGCTGGTAGGAACGAATAACCAAAGAATATAAACATAATGTATTATTACACTTGTTTAGCCAGGAAAGCCCCACTGAGTCTAAAGGTTTTTCTAGGGTCCTGCCAAGTGTTTGCAGTAGGGGGCGATGTTGCTACACCTAATCGGACGATACGAAGGGAGAGTTTGAGGCCTAGTTCTAGGCTTTAGGCCTAGCTGTAGGCTTTAGGCCACTGTGAGTTAATTTCTAATTTAAAGGATTTAATTATTTATGTAAAAGCTTTAAATGTAAATGTTTCTATTTAAAAACATCAGGGAATGTAACATTGTTAAACATTAACTCCCTTTCACACACGCGGGGGTACGATACGAAGGGAGAGTTTGAGGCCTAGTTCTAGGCTTTAGACCTAGCTGTAGGCTTTAGGCCGCTGTGAGTTAATTTTTAATTGAAATGTTTTTATTATTTACGTAAAAGCTTTACATTTAAATGTTTCTATTTAAAAACTTCAAGGAATGTAACATTGTTAAACTCCCTTTCACACACGCGGGGGTACGATACGAAGGGAGAGTTTGAGGCCTAGTTCTAGGCCTTAGGCCTAGCTGTAGGCTTTAGGCTGCTGTGAGTTAATTTTTAATTTAAATGTTTTAATTAAAAGCTATCTCTGGGAATTATAAGGGAATGTTACACTTGTTTAGCCAGGAAAGCCTCATTAATTTAAATGTTTTAATTGAAAGCTATCTCAGGGAACTATAAGGGAATGTTACACTTGTTTAGCCAGGAAAGCCTCACTGAGTCTAAAGGTTTTTGTAGGGTCATGCCAAGTGTTTGCAGTAGGGGGCGATGTTGCTACACCTAATCGTTCATCGGACGGACGGACGATATAATCTATTGTAGGCTGGTTCACTTCGTTCCTACCAGTATAACCTTTCCCATAGTCATAACCCGAGCCCTGATCCCTAAGCCTCGTCATAACCCTCCATGTCATCTTAACCTCATCTCTAATAGGCTTAACGGTCTAATCACAATCCTCGCTTTAATCAGAATGCTAAACAATGTCCCGTTGTGACTCCTCATCGCCAATGTTTATTCACAGAAAGGGCCTTCAGATAGCACCATGGAGCAGCATCACGGTGCCACTTCTTTACAATGTCGATCAAACGCGTCGCGTAATATTTGGAGCGCGAGGAAAATCACGCGTGGTGCTACTGCAGGGGTAGTGCCGTAGTCCTAGCGGCTGTGTGAGCTGGGGGCCGCTCGCCCGCGCTGGGGCTGCTGCTGCTGGCGCTGGATGAGGGAAGGGATCAAGCAGCGCGACCCTAACCTGGCGGAGATTTCAGTGCAGAGACCGAGGAGAACAAAACCGATAATAGTTTTTTTACCCTTTTATCTGGCAACAAAACTGACACGTGCGCCTTTTGGCGTAATCTGGTCTAACACCATGTGAGACCAGGCTCTAAAGAAAGCTGTCTCGGGTGTGGACCAATCAATTTCAAAAACAGTGCATACATTATCAGAGTTATGTTTTTTGTTTGCATTTCAACTGCAGGTATTGTGGTCAATGCAAACATGACTCCTTGTAAAAAAGGTGTCAGTTTTGTTGCCAGATAAAAGGGTAAAAAAACAATTATCATATTTTGCTACTGGCAAATGAGGCTCCAATGGTGAGAACCAAACCGGTTTAGTGAGAGCGATTTGATCAATATGCACCTAAAGCCCACATTACAGCGACTCATTTATGAATATGTTCTGAATGATAACCCACTTTAAATAAGTTCGATTTTTTGCATATTTGTAAGTCTCTGCGCAGGGTACTCATCGCTGTACATGATAGGAATGTCATGCATCGATCAACATCGATTCTGGAAAACATTATCCAGCTAACAACATTTTTGTACATGTGAAAAAAAACTGGGCAAATTATACAAACTCTGTATTTGGTAATGCATGTGCTGGAGGGGAACAGCCTCCCCTGGAGGGATTTCCAGAGAGCCTCCTAGAGGGCACCAGGCCTCCTGCTCCACGCATCTTGCAGTCGGCTCGCACTCTCGCGGCATCAGGAGCCGTTCTCATGCCCGCCACGTGCTTCACAATCGGCTCTTCGAATCTCACAGAAGCGGCGATTCCGTCTCCCCCTCACTGCCG